TCTCTCTCTCTCTCTCTCTCCCTCTCCTCTCTCTTTAAAAAAAAAAAATTATAGATGGACACAGTACCTTTATTTTATTTATTTATTTTTATGTGGTGCTGAGGATCAAACCTAGTGCCTCAGCAGTGCTAGGGAAGCACCCTACCATGGAGCTACAACCCCAGTCCCTATTTTTGCTTTATTTAATGAAAGAAAACTAGAAAGAACTGTTTGAAACCAAGGACTCCTCTGAACTTAAGGAAAACTTTGCAATGCTGAGAGTAAAAGGTGAAGGCCTCTCCTACCCCACCCTACTCCTGGGCTTGGGGGATATCAAGGTAGCTGAGAATGGAGATTGCCTCTTGCCCCAGCTTGGTTAGCACAGGCTAACTAAATCGTGTTTAGCATATCATTTGGCTTTTGTTTCTATAAATTGTACTGCTTTTGTGGGGCCCACAGAGAAGCCATCTAGCTGCTTATTTGCTTACTTCTTATGCATATGAGTAATATATAGGTGGGTGAATCCTGCCAGCAGTGATGTAGGCAGGGTCCCTGGGGTAGGCTGCTAGTAACACTGTGAGTCATTTTAGTCACTGATAGTGGGAAGGTGTAATATCCAGAGACCCATCTATAAAGAGAAATTGTTCTCTAAAGAAAGAGGGCAAGATCCTAGCTAAGTCTGGGTTGCAATTGCCCCCTGAAGAAGAGCAGAACTTCCAACTACAATTTGTTTTGGGGTCAAAAAAACTGGTTTGAATGAAATCTGAATGGAAAGTGACTTTCCAAACTGTGAAGTATGAGAAGAGAATTCTTCACACACCCCAGAGCACTTTCTTGCTTCCCTAGAGTTCCAGTGTCTTGATTTCAGAGATTAGAAAGGATGATATAGAATTTTCTTTAAATCTTTACATGGCACCAAGGACAGATCTGGTGCTGTGTGCTGGAACCATTGAGAAGTGAATGCACCCAGGAAATGCTGTTTTGGGGATCCACGTTTGTAAGATCCTTGCTTAGCACTTGGATGGCCACCTTAAGTGACAGCTGCCATCTTAAGAAAAAGTTTCACTTTTCTGCCCAAGGGCCTTTCTGAGAAAGGCTCACCATTCCCTTATACCAACCCAACCCTTTACCACCTGTGTTCAGACCTATTCTGCTCTAATCCCTGAACCTGCCCCATAAAAGTCACAGAACCCAAGCCTGTATGTCCTCTCTCCATCTATGGAGAGATGTTCCTTTATTTGTCAGCTCTGACAAATGAACTCTCATGTGTATCTCTGCCTGGTCTCCATCTTTCATTTCTCACTCACCTATCTCCCAGTTCCTCGATTTTTTTTCATTGGTGTTGAAACCCTGGATTGGGTTCCCCATGTGCTTGTTCCCCTCTTCAAGGGTCACTGAGTGTCCCTGAGCCCCAATCCGAATTCCATCATGGAATCAGGCCCTCCATTCTGCTGAATGCCCTCTCTGCACCCACTACCAGACACTTCAGGTAAGATCCCTGTCTCCAGTTTACCTAAATGATCTACTACATTCCCAGGATTGATGGTCAATCCACCAGCACTCCCAGGATTACCGTGTGGTCAGGGGCACCCCCAGCCACAGCTTTAACATCTATGGCTGGTCCCTACTGCTGACCAGGTCTATAGGTGGTCTTTAATTTGGGTCCTGGGTTTTGAGAAAAACCACCAAAGGTGATTGGGAGTTATTCCTGGTGAGATCTCTCAGCCTTGGGTTCTGCCTATGGCTTCTGCCCCTTCTACGTAATCCCTGACAGGCGCCCAAGTGCTTCTATGGGCCCTGCCCCCAACACTTACCCAGTAGTGGTGACGGCCCCCTGAACGTAACCAACCTCTTGACTGGGTGATACTTGAGACTGGGGGACGCCCCACCTCTAAACTTGCCTCCTACATCTCACCATGGGCTACTCCTCATTCATTCCCTTCCATAGTCCTCTAGGTTGCCTCTTAGCTAACCTAGGGTCTCTCACACCCTGGACCTAAACCCCCTAAAACTTACCCATTTGTGCAATCAGATCTGGCCTCAATACTCTAAATGGACGCTTAATGGCACTTTAGATCCCAATATTATTGGGGCTGGGGATGTGGCTCAAGTGGTAGTGCACTCGCCCTGCATGGGTGCGGCCCAGGTTCAATCCTCAGCACCACATACAAACAAAGATGTTGTGTCCGCCGATAACTAAAAAAAATAAATATTAAAAAATTCTCTCTCAAAAAAACACAAACAACAACAAAAAAAGCTAAAGTAGTACTAGGGATTGAACCCAGGGGCACTTTCCACAGAAGTAAACCTCCGGCCCTTTTTATTTTTTATTTTGAGATAGGGCCTTGCTAAGTTGCTAAGGCTGGTCTTGAATTTGCAATCCTCCTGACTCAGCCCCCCAGGTCACTGGGATTGCACATGTGCTGCATCATGCCCAAGCAGCTTGATTAAATTTTTACCAGAACTTTGCAATAACTGAAATCAGATGACTGTCTTCTTTGGGAAGGATGTGTATATATGTGTGTGTGCATGAAAGAAAGAGATTGCTGAAGAGGAAAAAC